GATGAATTGTTATACATTTTTGTCTCCATTTTTATATATATAGATTTAGGCACACTTTCATTAGCTGGTTTGAAAAAACTGCTAGTCTTTTGTTGTCTTCCTTTAGGATTTATTTCTCGTATTAATAATTCACRTAGGTACCTCAAATGTTCATAGTATGCAGATATGTTTTCATCGTCATTATCTTCAAGATATTTAAGGACAATATTTAGATGGTCTTTAATTTTACCAAGTTTTAGCTTAGACTTGATAGTTGATACTATCGTCTACTAAGTCTACTTCATATTGTTCATATATTCATCCRTTTCAGTTTTCTGTAGCGATGAGGCTTTCAAAAATCTCTTCTTATGTTTAAATGTGATAGCTATCATGTTTATTTTAGTCTACGGCATATACTGCGTATTTTTTGTAATATTAGACAATTGGTCTGGATTAAGTGAAGTCTGGACTAATGAAGTTCTACTGTATCTTGCATTTAATTTATTAATTTTTATAAATTATTCATGTTTTTTTTTATTAAAATKWATTATTTTAAGGTTTTGTATTGGCTTTGTCAAATGACAGTCATTTTGCAGCTGGATTTGCGGGAGTTGGTACAAATTTTTTGTTGATGTGTGCTTGTGGTAAATAAATTATCATCAAATTATCTAAATAAATTATAGTTTTTCAAACTAATTTTATTCTTAGGTTTTATTTGGCCTACTCAAGGGGCTCGTCATTTTGTTAAATATACAAACAAGTTTGTCCCAATTACATTGGCTATTGAAGCATTACGAGGTATAACCATGCGTGGTTGGTCTATTGATCACACAGCAGTTTACATGGGATTTGTTTCAATGTTAATTTGGGCTTTGATATTTTATGTAATATCTTATGCGTTATACAAATCAAAGAAAGGCACATGGAAGAAAGTGTAGATATGAGATCTGCAGGATCTCAATATAACAATAATTCAATGTGTCAAGTACAAAAGACTGCCAGAATGCTTTATGGCAATCAAATATATTAAGTTTTTTYTTATAATGTTAAAAATCTATGAGAAATTGTAAATAAATGTATTTAAGTAGGATAAATGTAATTTATTATATAGGATTTTAAAATATTATGTAAAAATAAAATATAAATAAATGAAAATGTAACATTTTCATAGTGCAAAAATACTATTTATAATTATTATACATAATAGTTATAATATTATAATAAAAATGTTATCTAGGTGCACTTATTAAAGATAAAATAATTACTTTTTGAAGTTATTTATTAATGAAAACACTGTTTGTATTATTTTTTTAGAGTCATTAATGTGGTCAATTATTTCTAAATTGTCATTAATATCAATAATAAATTGATTAATGTTATCTTCAATTGTTTTCTCGCTAGATTGTGTTTCTAAGCAACTCTTGGCCAAATTTGCCAATGACGATTTTTCAGAACCAAATATACTGTCAAGATCGAATAATTCTAAAAATGGGGATGATAATTCTTGAAATGGAGGTGGATACACCTAAAATATAAATAGTGTTAAAACAATTAAAAATATTTAACTTTTATATTTAAAATTTAATACTTACTGCAAATTGCAAGGCAGGTAAGGTGTCATTGAATGTAGGAGGAATAAGTTGTAACTGATTGTGGGGAACATTTAATGTTTTATACGCTTCAATTGTATCTGGTAACATTGTGGTATTTAAAGAACATAATTTAGTATCTATAAGGGAATTTATGTTGTCGGCTGAGAATAAAAAATGACCCGTGTTGTTCAAACTTTCTTGAAGCTGGAGACAAGTGCGGACACGAGATGATAACATCCCAATATCTGGTACCATTTTATAATCTGAAGTCTTGAACAAAGAAAATAAAATGTATTATATTAGTATAAATTAAAATGTTTTATATTAACTTCAACAGTTCAATAATATTTATAAATATAATATAGGTAATGTGAAAAAAAAATGTTATGAATGTATTATATTATTTACACATAACTAAGGAAAACAATTTTAATTCTTGCCGATTTGATATACGTAAATTTCCTATGTGTCAGTGCATTATAAAAAAATTAAATACATTTCTAATTAAGAAGTTAGATATTAGTTTTATAAATGGATTTAAATATATTAGCTTGATACATACCTCAGGATCATTAGCATCAATTTCATTTAAAGTTATATTATCTGTGATCAAGAAATCAAACAAAATTTCACGGATTTTATCATTTTCTTCCCAGTTAATATATTTGTCTGTTAGCAAATGGCCAGAACCAATGACTGCAAGTTTTCC